TAATCAGACATAGAACGGTACAAGTGGTAGTCCGTAGGAGCTAAGTCTGGAGAATAAGGTAGATGTGGAACCGTAACCCATTCTAGCTTTAACAATTTTTCACGTTTCGACTTTGCAATATGAGGTCTGGCATTATCATGTAAAAAATAAACTCTATCCTGCTTCCCGTGGAGTTTTGCTGCAACTCGGTCCAATTGTTGACAATAGAGATCAGCAGTGACGTTGCAACCAGTTGGAAGAAGTTCCCAATGAATAATTCCTTTTAATCCCCACCAGACGCTCAGCATAATCTTCTTTGGGTGAAGTTCATTCTTGTGCGCTGCTACACCTGTTTGTCCAGTCTCCAACCACTGCCGCTTGCGCGTATGGTTAACATACAACACCCACTTTTCATCACTAGTAATAAGATTGTGAAGCCATTGGTAATTGCGATGAGATGTCATTAATTCCATACAAGCGTCAACCCTGAGTTGGAGCTGACGCGGTGACAACTCATGTGGTATCTAAACACCATATTTTCACGTTTTGCCTAATTCTTTCAGGTGTCTTTCCACTGTAGCATGAATGCACCCAAGTCGCTCTGCTAAACACCGTGTAGTCAGTCTAGGATCTTCGTCGATGAGCTGCTTCAAAACGTCCAAATCCACCTCTAGTGGTCTTCCGGAACGAGGTAAATCGTCAAGTTCTAAATTACCGTTCTTGAACCGATTGAACCGATGTTGCGCTGTACGAATGGAGAATACATCCTTGCCCATCGTGTTGCATATGTTGCTGGTTGCTTCCGTTGCTTTGTGACCCAAACGAATTCATGAAGCAAAAGTACCCGAAAGTCTCTACGAGATATCCTCAATTCTAATTCGAGATCAACGCCCATATCCATGATTTTCTTATTGTTCGAAAGAAATTCGTACCCTCTTTACATACCCTCAGTATGGAAACTTCTAGAACTTTCTTGATTATTCTAGGAAAATTAAAGAAAAACCGCAAAAACTTTCCGCCCAACCCAATAAATTTCTCGATGTTTATAGTATGTGTTACAATCTTTACTGGCTCTTACTACAAAAATTATTCACTTCTACTAATATTATCTGTCTCGAGTGTAATCTAGAAGATTGTGCAATTCTGTATATTTTTATTAACGAAAAAATCAAAAAAGTACGAAACAAATCATTTTACAACCTCGGACAAAAGTCTTTTCTCCTTTTATCTTTTTATGCTGTCATACTTTGTATCAAATTTACTACTGAGTAAAGATATGACATAAGAGATTTATTAGTGTGATCTGTATACCAAAATGAAATAAAACTTGAGGGTGTGGATGTGGGTGTTATTCTGATCTTCTCTTTACGTACACCCACACCCTATTTTAATGAAATTTCTGGGCAAAAGCTAGGTTTTAAGGCTTTCAGGGAGTGCTTCCGATCTTTCTTATTATTTGAGTACTTTTGAAAACAAATGAAATATTTGTAATCAGCGCACTTGGCACTATTGAAATATAAAGACTTGTAATAGAACAGCAACAAAAATTTTTTTCGATATCTGAGGTGAATCCCAGGTATGAAAAATTGAGTTGTGATAAAGTAGAAAATAAAATCATGAAAAATAATCAGGGTTCAATGCTGATTCTCAAGGTAATAAAATTAGGCTCAGCCTTTTCAAGGCCTTCGGTCCGTAATTCGACGCAACTTTTGATGTATTGGACAATGATTAATGTGTGATAATGAACTAATAAATCAATAATCATCAACTACATGCTTTACTTTACTCGATAAAGTATAGATAAAGTGCCGCCCCTACTAAAAATCTTGCTATTTAGTATTTTGTAAAATTGTCCTGATTTTCTTAGCACGAATATCTGATGAATAACTGTCTTCAACAACTCAAGAATATCGAAAGTGATTACAAGAATGATAGTGTTCAAATAAGAATACGACAGAAAGAATTTTATGCACCTCAGTATCGGATCGAAGAACTCAAACAATATATCAATGAACTCATATATCAATCAACTATATTTACAATTCAAAAGCTTGACAATTCTGTTGGCTTAACTGATGATGACAGTGCAAAATTGAATGAAATTGCTAAAAAGCATTGTTGTCGTATAGAGAGAATAGAATCGAATATAGAAACGCAGATTCGCTCGATACCGAAAGCATTAATAACAACTTCAGCAACGTCGTCAAGTCTATTTATTCGACAATCGAATACGTTCTGTTCATCATTGTCAGTGAAGAAAATTTCAGTGTTAAATGGTTCAATAGAAATATACACTCCTGATCATTCCATGCCATGTTTGGTAGGTAAATATATCTTTCTGTGTAAAATGTACATATTATCGATTCAGGAGGATATTACTGTGATTTCTACGGATGCAGGAGTGCTTCATGAACGTATTGAAGCTGTACATGAAAATAGATCCTTCGAAACGCCTTCAGGTAGAAAAATTATATTTTATCCTTGGTCACATCGCGCAGGAACGGACGGTAAAACAGTTACAAAATTAAAACGATCTATTGGAAAATTTGTATCGTATGTCGTACAAACGATCACGACTAATTGGCCCGATGCTGAAAAGATTTCATTTTCAACATGTGGATGGGAGAATTTTAATGTTGAGGCGGAGTTTGCTGAAGAACTTATTATTGAAATTCAACGATTACTTAAAGTCAGTAGATCACATTGGAGAGTTTTGTTTATTTTCAATCACGAACAGAACCAATTATGTAAAGAATTTATTCAAGCACTGATACGATTACAGTCTGATGAAGATGGTTTTGTTCAATTTCCTTGCTCGGTATCAAGTATGTATTCATTGTTCCTAATAGACCATTCACGAAAACTGATTTTTATATGGCAGCTTTAATTGATTGATGAGGGCGAAAAAAGCTTTTCACTAGGGTATTTACTTTTCTATTCTCGGTTTTGAAATCAATTTTGAACAACTGAACTTGTTGAGTCAGTATATATAAAATACTAAGGAGTTGAGATTGATTGACTTTAAACGATGACAGATTTCGAGAAGAGCGATTGTAAATAGTATCGACCACCAGCGCTTATTTTTATGTCAAAATTTTCTGCAAAAAAAAAATAAATCTGAATAGTTGATTTTCTTAGCTACTCATATTATCTTAACTACCGTGAAAGGTAATAATTTGATACCATGTGAAAATGAAATCAATTGTTACATTCGAAGCAACATATCCACAATTGAGACGCTAAAAAAATTATCAGATCTGAAACAATGGAATCAACACATGATAAACGTCTTCTATAAGTATTGTCTAGAAAAAACCGTGCTGCCAAAACTTAATCTAACAACCTTGGAATTGGAACTGACCGGTTCAGCACATAATATCGAGAAGACGATGGAAAAATGCAAACTGATGTGCGAAATTTTGAAGTTAAAGTCATCGGTACGAATTCCACTTCCGATCGCGCCAAGATCTTCTGCTAAAGGAAGAAAACAGTCCGATTCAGTTAGCAACAGTAGTTACAACATTGCGTTCAGCTATTGTCCACAAGATGAAGCATTTTGTGAACATCTTGCAACATTTTTAATAGATGAAGGTTATCTATTATGTCGAGCATCATCTAGCAGACCTCTATCAGAGTCACAAATTCAAAATTCTGATTTGATGTTAATTTATTTCGATGAAAACTATACAAACGATGCACATTGTATGATAAATCTGAACTACGCCAAATTAATACAAAAAACAATCATTCCGATTGCAGCGATGAAAGATGTTTTTCAGAATGCAGAAGAGGATTCTTGGCTGAATTCGGTCAAAAATGCTCAATTATTCTACGAGTTATTAGACACTGAAATAGAAATTGAGTTTACTTGCGATTTTGACCTGGAATATGATAAATTATTGACAAAACTGGTAAGCCGAAGGATAGCATTTTTCTATCTAACATAGATACTGATCCTAACATGTGCCTAGTAAACGTTGAGGTATTGCGTATTCCATGGATGGACTGTGGATGTGGGTAGTTGCACGACAGTTGATTCATATATTGATCGCTTGCGTATAATTTAAGGATTTAGTAAGAAAAATTTCTATGAATTACTGTAGTTCGTGATTTCTCGAGTGAAATACGCGTTTTTAGAAGTGTAGAAGCTGTCAGTTATGATTTCAATGGAGATGTGTTTGCGAATTTTGATTACCCAGCATTATACGATTGAACTCAGATCAAGTAAAATTCATTCGCGGTAGAAAAAAAATTGATCAAGCTTCACAGGATACTGTTAAAGTTCTCTTCCAGTACTTCCAAAAGACCAACAGTATCTAATTTTTAGCTTTGTTTAAAGCCAAAACTGTACAATTATCTCTTATGTTGAAGCGTAAGCAGTCAAAATTGAAAGGAATGATCCCGTTCTACTTTTTTGGTGTAGACGAAATTTTGCCTGTAAAATATTAAAGCTCTTCTTTATCCGATATGTCTTGTAGTTGTGTCATACAAAGCCTGGTGTGACTGGTCAACTTTATCCTCTAATACCCATAGTATCGAATGCAAAACAGGTGAATACAAACGATGACGAGCCCCTCCTTGGTCATTCATCAATTAAGCTGCAAAAACTGACTGCAGAAGAAAAAAAAGATCGAGAAAAAGCTTATAAACGACAACTGAAGAAACGAATAGAAAATGAAAAAATTCCAAGCGATGAAATCGACATGCTAGTTGGAAGTTTGACGCTTGTCGTTGATGATTTAGAAGCAATTTTGAGAGGAGAAAACCCAGATAATTATATGGATCCGGATGATCGTGAAAAATATTCATTCAGGTGGCAACGAAGAAAAGCTTGTAAAGACATATTTCATGTAACTTTCAAATCTATTTTCTTTTTTTGACATATAGATGAATATTCAAAAGTAATTGCGAATGAATTTTTGCATTGTATTAAACGTTGGTTAAAAAGAGCTCCGAATGTGATGAAGAAGAACGTTGCACCATTCACTCCTACTGGTGACATCAACGATGCTCTGTTCACAATGTATCAGCCTAGTGATTACGACTGGTGGAAATCTGATTATGAAACATTCGACAGTTGCCAATTGAGACAATATTTCGTAACTCCTTATTCAAATCTAGGCTCTTGGTTTACACTTGACCAAGCGCATGATTATTTTCAATTGTTTATAAAAGCGACCAGACGAGTAAATATAATTGAAACGAAACTTGAAGAAAATGAAACAGCTTGGGAAACTGTTTCTGTTAATGATGTCGATAATGAAAATCCTACACATAATGACGACGATATTGATGATCAATTAAAAACTGCAGAAGAAATCAAAAAGATTCAGGAGCTTGATAATCCAAATCGTAAATGGAAACAAAAGAAACTAGTTACAGAAGCCTTTATGAAACAAAAGATACGAAATATCATTGAGTTTCAACAACTTTGTGATAGGCAAACTAATTTATAAATAAATTTGTTTTATTACAACTAAAATAAACTGATAAAATTGATTGGTAGAAACGAAAATCTATTAAAACTTTTTGCTTCACCATCTACATATTTATTTAACTTTTAGATGAAAATTTAATCGTCGCAATTCGAACTTCTTTTATCATGGAAGCATTACTGTTACGATACTCATCTGTCATTACTCGGCTTCGTCATAAGCGACGGATCTTACGCATTGAAGAGTTTAAACAAATCTTCGATGATATTCTTTCTTATTTAAATAAAATTCCTTCGAACAAAAGGAAAACCGATGGTATGCATATTTTGACGATTTTTTGTGACGAATTAGCTAGTTTGCATGCATTTCGGTTATTCGATCATTTGGTTTTAAGAAATCATCCGATTTTTAATTGTATTGGACGAACATTCGAAATGCTTTTGACAAAAGCAAATCATGCGCAAACAATACCAATGATTCAGCAGGAAGAAGAGTGCTTCTCTGCAACTAGTTATCTCATCGTACAGTTATGTCTGTACGAAAACGAGCCAACTGAGTTATTCTATGGCAAAGTATCAACCGAAATATTTCCTATAACAGAAAAACCCAATCCAAGAGGCGAACATGTGGTTAAAAGTAATAGAGAATCAGATGAACTTACGAAAAAACCGAATCTGAAAACTGCACGATTACCCCCAGATGCACCAGCAGCACGTCCGCTCGAACCAAGGCAGCCAGATATAGAAAAAATATCCAGACTTAAAAGGTTTCCGCCTTCGTTCAGTCCAATCTCGAAAACAATTCAAACCAATCTACCCATATTTGAATCCAATGGGACTGATCAACCTGCAAAGAAGTTTCAGGATTTATTTTTAAGTAAATTATTTTTTGATCAATTGGTTCGCTCCATTGAGGATATATCTCAACATGAATATTTTTCATATCATATCAAATATAAAGTTATAGATCGACTTGTTCGTCTTTGCTCAAAATTAAATATTGTCGATCAATTACTCAATCCTATTATAAGATGTTTATGTTCAGAATATTATCTTGGTGCATTTAAATCACTTGAATCTAATCAAATTCAATTGACTCCAAAACAGCTCTTTTATATTCATCAATGTCCACAATTTCTCATTCAGCATGATTTCTTACAACAAGAAAACATAATCCGCACATTGTGTAAGACAATCATTGATGTTACGAAACCAATTTTTGACAAATATTTATTAGGAACAGGTAACAAGAGTTTGGTTTGTATTTTTTGCATTAAAACACTTTTTTCTTTATGTTCCTTCAAAGATATCGAAATCGATTCGAATGAAGATGGAGACAGACGAATAATTATGCATGCACTTAGTTGCCATATTGAGTTCTTATATCAATTTTCAATCACATCATCAGGCAGACAATATTTTCTTCAAAGTTCTATCGTCAATCAGATAGTAACTATATTAGAACAAAATATATTGATTGGCAGTGCCTGTAAAAATGAACATTTATTTAATGCAAACGTTGGTATTGTTGCTTACAGTATCATGTTACTTTATAATTTGGCCTATGAAATACAAATTTTTTCGATCTTAAAACAATCAAATTTTCAAAATATCTACTTACAATTAGAATGTGCAAAAGATACTACAATTCAATTTGCATTAATGACATTGTCAACTATTTTAAAGCAAAAAACTATTGATGAAAATAATGAACCTAGGAAACTAAAGGAGGCCTACACACAGTTTCTCGACAATATTACTTTTAAATCAAAGCAAATAACAACTGTGGCTGTTACAAGAAATATTAGAGGTACGTCTATTTTATTCTAAAGCATGATTATAGAGTCACCAGGATGTGTTTCATTTGAAGGTAGAATGTCTCTGCAATATAAAATGCCTGAGAATCTAGAGTACCGGAATTTCGCCAATAAGATTTTTGCTAATTGGCGAAATTCATGCCATCCGAGAATTTCGTCAACTGTTAGTGGGATATATATGGGGGTGACCAACTTAACTGATACCCCATAGGAAATAATATTATTTCAGAGAGGAGTATATAATAAATTTTATACCAAATGAAAGCTCGTCAAAAATGGGATTTACTGATACTAAATAGTAAGGGTTTTGTAAACTTTGTTATGTCGAACTTATAAAATTTCGAGAAATTTAAGATACTAAAAAATGTTAAAAAACACATTTTCTATATGGAAGAAAAACACTAGGTTTTCCCATAAAATTAGCTTTTTTGCATTATTTCTATTACTTCACATGTTTCGAAATACACTTATTCGATTCAGTTTTCCATGTTGCATCTATTGAATATATTTCGAAACATATGAAGTAATAGAAATAATGCAAAAAAGCTAATTTTATGGGAAAACCTAGTGTTTTTCTTCCATATAGAAAATGTGTTTTTTAACATTTTTTAGTGTATTAAATTTCTCGAAATTTTATAAGTTCGACATTACAAAGTTTACAAAATCCTTACTATTCAGTATCAGTAATGCCATTTTTGACGAGCTTTCATTTGGTATAAAATTTATTATATACTCCTCTCTGAAATAATATTATTTCCTATGGGGTATCAGTTAAGTTGGTCACCCCCATATGTAAATATGATTGTTAAACATGCACTAGCAGTTCCTGCTATCGCCTCTTGTTAATAATGGACCAATACGAATAAATTTTTTCTAATAGAAAAAGATACTGCGAAACATGTGTTTATCAGAGGACCATTTTTGGAAAAATTGATTCAAGATATTGAACATCTTTCAAAGCATAGTTATAAACCGAATGAACAACGATATAGAGATGCTGCGCAACAAATTCGTGTTTGTACAAATGAAGAAACAAATGAAGTAGAAGTATTATTAGATCCAATAATTGCATGTTTATCGTCAAAATATTATCGTGATGTCTATGAAAAAATCATTGTTAGTTATGCAAAAATTTCTAAGAGTAATCTTGCAGCAAAACATTTATTTTTCATGCGCGATTGTCCAGAATTTCTACTTCGACATGATTACAAACGACAAGACGAAGTAGCTGCTTTACTTTGCATGAAAATGTTAAATAATGCTGAATTCATTCTCGAACAAAATTTACCCAGTCTAAACGACAGCGAAGAAGGTTAAATCGATATCTCATTGTACAAGTTGATCTTTTCTTAATTTATTTCTAGATGAAGAAATAAAGAAAAATGCTGATAACGAAGCATTACTTTATCATATTAAACTGTTAAATCATTTTGCACAAATACGATCTACACGAAAAAACTTTTTGGAAACTAGAATACTAGATAAGATTTTACAAATTTTACAGAATGAAACATTAATTCATAGTACTAGTCGAATCGGTGATATCAAAAGTTTGATAATCATGCAATCACTAATATTATTATACAATTTGGGATTTAGTAAAAAAATCTTGTCTCTGATGAAAAGAAAAAATGTTATTGATATCTGTTCAAAATCATGTTTAATGAATGATAAAATGATTCAATTTGTTTCACAAGCTTTGATTATAAGGTTAGATCCAAGAAAAATTGATGAAATAATTAGTCCGAGATCACTTACCAAATTTTGTCTGGAATGTATGGAGAAATCCGTTAGAGAACCACGACGTTCATATCAAGGTATCAAATTGAATGGTATATTGAAAATTCTTGAAAGTAAATTTCAAAAACAAAGAAATTATTTCTATATCTACTCTTTTCTTTCTTAGCTGTACTTGAAAATGATTTAGTTCAAAAAACTATTGTAGAAGAAAAAGAAGGAATTTTATTTCTTACAAAATTTGCTTGTATCATATGTCCAGACGATCCAATATCGGAAAATATTAAAAAAATTCGACTATCATCTTTGACAATTATTTGGCAACTCTTATCGATAGTACCTACATTAAGTAAGAAACTGAAATCAAATGATTTATTTATTGATCATCTTCTAACATTCATGAACAAAATTTCTCAGAAAGAAAAAATGATTCCTAGTGGCATTATATGGAAATTAGGCCATGAAGAAACTCTTCGTCAAGAACAAGCTGAAAAAAAGAAACAACTTGAACAAGATGATCGTACGACAATCGGCGATCAATATGATTCAACTGATGCTTGGGATGATTCAGTTCCATTCGATCTCATGATGAGTTATAGTGATGATTCCAGTGAGATAAGTCTTTGTCGCAAAATTTCCAATCGTTTAAAATCCGAGGATTTTAAGGTGTACTTTGAAAAACAAGGAAAACATCGACTGGAATCGATAAAAAAAGCCGTAATTAAACGAACGCTTTTTCTCGCATGTTTATCAACTAAATATCGCACATCGAAAGTGTGTATGGCAGAAATTGAATATGCTTCTAAAAGTGGATGTCCTCTTATACCGGTAATAGTCGAAAAAAATTACAAAGTCAAAGGCTGGTTAAACCATCTTATTGGTAAAAGAAATACTGTTGATTTCAAACATGAACTTTTCGAGGATGCATTTCTAAATTTAATCAGTGAAATTCGCAAATTAAAAAATTAAGACTGAATAAAAAAAAGACTTTTAATTAACATAAAGATTTATTTTGACAATATTATAGAGAATTGATCTTTGAGTTAGAATGATTTGATTGATATTATTATTAAATTATTTTTAGATTTTAAATGAAGATCTTTTAGATCAATTCTAATTCTTTCTTTTGGTTATTTACTTATTATCGACAGGTAAGAATGCCTTCTCCTATTTTTGATATTATGGAATCAAGGATTTAATTTTAATTTCTTTTTGAAAAATAGTTTTTCGAGAAAAAAAATCCACTACATGACTCAATCATCAACGACAAGCCAATTTTATTATGCATGCCGTAATGGAAACGTAGATGAAGTTCGCGAACAATTACCCAAAATGACTCTACAGGAAATAGATCAAATTCAAGCGAATGGTTCTACTGCTCTTCATGCAGCATGCTACTATGGTCATACAGAGATAGTGAAATTATTGTTGAAGCGAGGCGCTAGTCGTTCGATACAGAACGTACACAAATGTTTGCCATATGATGAAGCGGAAAAAGAAGAGATAAAAAAATTGTTTCTTCGTGAATCATCGAATCGATTTAATGATGATGGAACAGGTCACATTGATTGGATGAAATGTGATGATGCAGCAGCAGAACTAGCGAAAATGTATCGATTTCGTCATGCAAGTATCGGTTGGAAAAAGAAAGATATTGATCGTCGAATGAAATTTATCAAAGAAGAAATGTCTCATACTGACATTGAACGAGTAGGTCAATTTCTCAATAATGCAGAATCAGACCAAAATCCTTATTATCTTTTGAAAGCATATACAGTTGAATCGGATTTTTATAAAAAACTCAATAGAGATCTAGCTACGAAACACTTCAATCAAGGCACCAACTCTGGTATCATTTATTTCATCGATTTCTTCTTCAATCATCCCGAATTAGAAAAATTATCATTCAAGGGTAAAGTTTATCGTGGTATGCCTATAACACAAGATGATCTTAAACAGTACGGTATCGGAGGAAAAGTAATGAATAAAGCATTTATGTCGACAACCAAAGATTTAGACGTAGCCAAAAACTTTGCCAAAAATAATCTTACCTATCGTCAAACGGAACATGGTACTCAAGTGAAAATGGCTGCCCTATGCATCTATGAAATTATTAATGATCGAACAGGTCTTGATATTGAACCAATATCCGAATACGCCCTTGAGAGAGAAGTACTGGTGGGACCATACACAGCGTTTGTAATTACTGCGATACGGAAAATACGTCCAGATTATGTGGAAATCGATCTTCGTGAATGCGAAAAAGCAAATGACGACGACGGCGAAGAAGACGATAACGATGACTAGAATAGGTTCTGTTCATGTTTGTTTTTGTTTTTGGAAGAAGAATACTTCTGCTTCATCGATTTTTGTGAACCTATAACTATTGTAAAACTTGAAAATAAATCTACTATTTCTTGTCGACAAGCCGTTATCTATGCATAACCCTAGCAATGATACCAAATATTATGAAAAATAACCGCCAAAAAGTATCCGAATCCTTATGAATTCTTTGCTCATAATTAGTCTTTTGTGGGAGTGAAGGTATGTAGATGAATCAAATTCACCGATGTGAACCATCTGTACACTCTTACTCTTGATTCTCTTTAAAAAAAGTTATAGAAGTAAAGCAAGAGAACGATACTTTTGCAAAGGCATGATGTTGATCGTTCGAAAGTTTATACTTCAATTTTCATCATGCTTGACTACTAACGCAAAAAGAAATAGTTTGGTCAAAATTTTTTTAATGATTCGGTTGTTGATATTGAAAAGTCCTTTATTGGCCACAAACTATATTAAAAGAATAAAGAAACGAAAAACAAAGATAAGCTTATGAAACAAACGTATGAGTATGAATAATAGTTTCGTTTTTGAACAGTTGTAAATTGCCAGTTTAAAATTACTTACAATACAGTAAGTGCTTGAGAAGCGTTTTTTGTTTTCTTCTTCTTTATATTGATAGAACTTCCAAGATGACATCAAATACGACGAAAGCCATACTACCTGGTGCTATCAAAAATAATTTTGATACTTTATATTCAGTTCATAAAAAGCAAACAATCGTTTCATTGGCAACCGAACGTAAAATAGACAATGATGAGTCATCGTCTTGTCTTTTCGACTCTGCAAATCATGGAATACCTTGAACTGATGATAAATCATCGCAGTCTTCTCTCGATATTCAATACAAGGGACTAGATGACAATAGAACTCCTAATACGGAATGTTGATATTGGTATGAACATCAGCAAAAAAAAATGTTTTGTCATCACTAGGACATGCTGCGTACACGCTGGGAAATGTGATGAAGTTGGTATATAAACCAGTACCTGCTCACCCATTTGGATCACGACACTATCAATATTAATATGCAATTTGTCAAATACCTGCTCCTAACTATTATAAGGTGCACAAATTTCCTCATTAACAGCAAGCATCTTCCCGTAGTTTTGGTATCTGACATTCAATGTATCAAATATCGTTTACTTTTCAAAAGAAACAATAACCATACTATAGCGTCGTCGGGAATCATCTGCAAAATGGTGGTTTCTTTTTGTTATCTGTATATACAGTTCTTTTTTTAAACGATGGAAACTGACCAACAATAAAAGTATTTCTATTAAAAATATATGTTAGTTAATAACTAATGCACGATCATTTCACATTCTCTACCGTGTTCACCAGTTTTTTTTCGTTTGATGATGGACTACGTATCTATTCCGCTTGGAGCCAGATCCAATGCTAAGGTTTGATGAAATTTATTTGAGTCAAAATGCGGAAAAAATATAGAATATAAATGTGATTGACCGATGTTTTTGAGTATTGGAAAAAAAGAAATCGAAAATATATTTGAACAAAACTTTTTAAGCACGATTTAGCGAGCTCAAGAAGAAGTACTTCAGTCTAAGGTCTCCTCCCCTCAAAAATCGATCTCAGACTGAGTGCATCCTAAAAGCATGAAATTTTCATGATATGTAGGGAGTGAAGTGGAAAAGCTGTGGTAAAATTTTCAGCCTTAAAGCATAACATTTGCGGAAAATAGTCACCAAACAAAGATCAAAAATAGCTCATTTAGCAACCCAAATTTCTCTGTCCAGACTCATCCTATATATTTAACTTTTTTTTTGTTTGAAAGAGCGCGTCAGAATGCAGGGCATCACAGAGCCATTTTTTTTTATATTCTTACTTTTTATGCAGAAAAAATGAGTGACAAGTTCAACGCCATGAAAAATGCTTTAAAAACGCTCCAAAAGTGGGTGTCCATTCATATTAGCTGTTTGCATATATAATAAAATCAAAGCTTAATTAAAAAAGGACTCCGTGGTGCTCTGCATCTTGACATGCTCTTTCAGACAAAAAAAAAATTCAAATATATAGAATGTATACCCACTGAGACATTTGGGTTCCGCGATTGAGAAAGTGTAAACTGAGAAAACACGAAAAAAAGTTTTCGTTTTTTTCAAAATAAACATACTTTTTAGAAAGAAGTTAACAGAAATCATCAAAAACTTTGACCAAAAATGAGATACCAAAGAAAACCATACCGCTTCTGAAAGATCAGAAGACGGACTATCTTCCCCATGTATTTATCTTAATTTCGACATTTTTCACGAAAATTGACTTTTTTTAGGGTTGAGGGGTCCTAAGTTAAACTTTTAGAAAACTTCATTACTTTCATCCAAATACTTCCCTGTCTTGGGCAAACATGACTATCTACAGCAGTAAATGTTGCCAAATCTCTTCATGAATCTTTTTTCTGAAAAGATTGTAAGAGAATGCAAAACTTTGGATGGATCTTTAAAAGAATGTTCACTTTTCAAAAAAAAAATGTTAAGTTTCCTATGATTTTAAGAAGCTTCGTCGATGTTGAAATTTTGACATTAATATTGCTTGAATATAACAAGACGTTTCCATATATTTCAGTGCACAGAAAAAGAAAATCTTTGAACTTTTAAATCATAACAATATCAGGATATCTTTGCGCTTTCTGTCATTCTTGACTCAAAGATGAAAATAATAAACTATTCATTATTGCTTTTTAATCGCGTTTATTATTTACTGGTTATTATCTGCTTTTAATATTTTAAAAAAGGAACATGTTGAATATATCAATAGAAATTTAATCATCAAACTTTTGACGACAGAGTAGACGAAAAAACATTGAACCTGATCTAAATTCAACATGCTCTGTCGCCTACGCATGAATACATAGTTGAAATTTCTATTTTTTTTGTGAAAACAAACCTCATATATTAGTACTTTTCATCAAAACAGATACTATTCAATCTTTAGTTATGAAAAATTCCATCACTTTATATATGGCATTAACTCTTGTGAATTAATATCATAATCTTATGATGGTGTTATGTTTTTCGATATGAATTGATAAATAAGTTACTGATGTTTTTTTTCAAATTATCTTTTGAATTTTATTCAGGTATATGATGCCTGCTCTTCTACCATTTTATCCATCATAAGCAGCTAATATACTTTGTTATCGATACAATAGTTTGACTGAATCAAATAAAATTGCTCAAGTCTTTGGTTATAATGGATCAATGTTTACTTGGACTGTGTATGGATTCATTATGAGTTTTAATACTTAAATAATACTAGATCATATCTTGGTCAATTATAGGCAAGAAAAAAAACAGAAATGTCAATAAGATTTTATCTTATCTGAATTTTTACATACTCTAGTTAAAACTTTGAGTTTATACTAGGGTTACTGTAATGGAGAAGGTAGTTGAGAAGATTGTTTAGAACAACATATAACTGGTGATATAGCAATAGCTATACAAATGTATTATTATGCTAGACAAGATAATCTTTGGTTAAAAAATATTGGTTGGCCACTTTTACGTGGTATAGCTCGGTTTTGGTCTAGTCGAATAACAAACACAACTAATGTGACATATCCAATAAATAAAGTAATGCCTGTTGATGAATGGTGTGATAATGAACAAACAAAATGTGGTGATATTGTTGTTAATAGTGTAATACAAACAAATGCAGTAGCTGCTGTATCATTAATATTTGCTACATAAGTTGGAAATATGTTTGAATTTGATGTTAATCCAGAATGGGAAATTATTGCTAAAAACTCAAAATAATTTTTTTTTGTTTCTTTTAACTTATTTGAAACCATCACCCCACCATTATGTTTGTCCAAAAAATGAATAAATATTTTCTTTTCACCTCTTGTTTGTTTTTTCTTTATCATTTTAATATGTAACTTATCCAATGAATTTTAATGTAACTCAAAAAATTATAAGAAATCATGCTGAAACATTTATTCCAATCACATGCCAAGAAAATGCAGGTATGATTAGTCTTATTCATGCTATTGTATGGCTTATATTAAATGAATCGTCTAAAGCTGAAGATGAATTTAATCGATCTTTACACGCGTGTACATAGAGAGAATTTCATGTTCGAAATGAAGTTTGTTATTTTCTTTATTAATTTGTTGAAAATAATAAATAGGTAGATATTCGTGCAGATATCATTGGAGGATATGGATTTAAGTAAGATTTCGTTTTTTTAACAAAGATTTTCGATGTTTTAGATCTCTAGCAATAACATACATTAGTCAGTGATTTGATTTAAATTTTTCAGTATTTTATGTTATGTAGTAGAATACAATCTAAATCGAAGTGTTTCTTTGGCAAATTATCTCGAAATATTATGCTCATCAAATAAGATAGACTATCAAAATTTAGTGTCAAATATTAACTTATATGGATTAATTAGAATTCGATTAAAGAACAATACAAAAAACTTTAGAAAATGATAAGATTCTAAAAGAATTCATATTCTAATTACGAGAATATCATTTTATATCAAAGTCTTTAAAAAATCAAATTCCAGACTTTCACCATGAAATTTTTTTGATCAAGATACTTTTTTTTAGTACACGATAAAGATTTCAACTAAAATAGAAACTTTTTTCTTCAAATATTGAATTATGTCGAATAATGACATTTATTTTTTAATCTCTTTCAGTAGTCATTTTCTTACTAGTGCCGATGGATTCATTCAATCAGTTATAATGGGTTATATTGGTCTTCAATATGATGATAAAAGTCTTCTATTTAATCTTTTACCTAGTATTTTAACACTATCAACAAAATATATTCGATTACGAAATGTTCTTGTTCACGGTATATATTTATTTGATTATACAATTGATCAATCATCAATGTATTTTATTTTTTCTCATATTTATACAAATCTTTTATGTATTACTGATAATTATGGTAATCAATAGACAATTACAAATAATCAATTAAAACTAAATATTCATGATATCCAACTTCCAATTTGAATTGATTTATGTAATTCAATTTGAAAGAATTTTATTTCAAATAATGGTTAAATACTTTGTGTTTTTTTTCTTATTTTATCACAATGATTAGTTTACAACTTAAAAAAATAAAATAAAAGAAAGACATATATATATTCTTTTTTTTTTCATACTATTATTATGTACATAAAATAAAATCATTAAGAAAAAAAACAAAACCAAGTTACATTCTCCTTATATACAATAGATATTGCCTGAATAATTTGGAAGACAAATACTCTTTTTTTTTATCAATTTTAATCATTTCTTGGTTGTTTACCCATACATCGAGCAATACTTGGTAAAACTTCACCTTGAATAGGACCTTAAGAGAAAAAAAACATTTTTTGTCATTTGAAATTAAAATTTTCTTTTTACCATAAGGAACTTTTTCACCATCAATCATCATATTTCCATTTGTTTCTGATGGTACTATTCGAAATGCACGTATAGGCATCCATTCAACAAAATCATAATTGAAATGTTTTCCATCAGATAATTTTGTAAACGCTTTAGCTAAATTTAAACGTATTGAACCATGAATACGTATAAATTGTAATGTTAAATAACCATCAGTTAATGTTGATTGTGGAGTTGATATAGAACCTTTTGACAAAGCAGCTTTTGATGTAATAAGTACATGAGCAAATGGACCATCAATACGACGCCATTTACTTGTCGTTGGATCAATTGATATAGGTTCATTGAGCGGTAAAAGATGTTCAGAAAGTCCATTTGTTGTTGTATTTGATGTAATCTGATTCGTTTGAACGGTATCATCAGTCACATCATAAGGAAGATAATCGATATAACCATTATAAATACGAGGTCCTAATATAAATATACATAATATAGAAATGATTTTCCTATTTTGCTTTATATATTCAATTAAATGAGAAGAAAAATCATTAATTAGAAATAACAAAATAATCTTTTTTTTTTTTTATAAAATATGATATTTCAGTGGTACTTATTTGACTTGAATTATCTTATGATATCTTCAAGTGTATGATAGTGTCAAACGTAGACTTTTTTTGATGTAATAGAAACAAAAAAAGAAAGATAAATATGAAATCCTCCTCCCTACAGCAGAGTAGTAGTCCATTGGGCTTTTAATCTATTTCGCATGTGAATCGTTTGGAAGGTAAGCCTCTTTTGTTTGTGTGGTAGCGTTAATTTTATTTGCTTACAAGCACAGAAATGCACTAGGCTTGATAAATTGGAATTTTCAAAGTGCTCAAGAAGTTTAATGCGAGGTGCGATAGTTACTGATGAAACAAAAATTGACTTGAATTTTTTTCAGTTCCATATTATCAGATAACCTGAGTGATACGTTGATTACATTACGTTGCTCATTCACACATTCATATGTCAACGGCACTTCGCGTATCACAAATATAAATATGTTAAACTAGACTTATTACAATATTTTGATTTATGAAGCTATCGAACTTTGGAGGAGTTGAGAAATACGGCTCTGACAGGCGATATGATCTTAGAAGCTTATATACAGTTAAGAAAGCATGAAGATATATTTCATTTATCTTGAAAGAAGTATAAAGTAAACTCTTTAATTACAAATGAGAGCTTCTCATTTTTATGAAATAACTAGTTCAAATCTTATAAATGTTTTAATCTATAACTGGAAGAAGTCGAACAGAATGATATTAAATTATGTCTATTTCCTATTCACTAATGTCTTAACAGTTGTTTTTCATTTCTAAAATAAACAAAATTAGATACACAAAAGAAGTTAGAACAGAAAGCAATAAACTAGTCTATTCGATGATTTATATTGCCGTTTTCCATTCGTTTCGATAGAATGTGCTTCTATTACATTTGGCAGAGGCATAACCTTGAGATTAGGCTTCTATTCTGTGGAAGTACCACATCAAATATTTGCGAATTTTTTTTTTAACAAAAAGATATCAAGATTGGTAACTTCTGATTCTTTACTATGAATTAAAAAGAGCTGATAAAAGAATATATTTTTCTTTTCTTAACAACAAACAACAATAACACTTACGAAGAATTCGTTTGACAGCTTCGACTGTAAATCGAGTTTCACCTAAAAGAATAATAAAGACTAATAAAAAAAAAAGAAAAACAAAACAAAACAAAAATTAATTCTTAATATATCTTTTTACCGAGAAAACGATATTTTTCACTTTCATAATCAACATCAGCCATAATACCCCATGCAATACTAAGAAACGAAAAAATTCGTTGTCCATCACATGTATCAATAACAGCCATATCAAAAGGAATCACTTGATGTGTAGCAATAAGTATAGCAGATTGAACAAGAAATTTTTCCATTGATGTTTCAATTGGTTGTCTATCCATATTAGCCTCAACATTAAATACATATTAAATAAAATAAAATAACTTACTTGCTATGACGAATAATATTTGTAATAAATGCATTACCTGAACCACAAGGTAAATGTCCAATAGGTAATGTCAAAGCTTCTTGCCAATCTTTTCTGTTGAAAAGACCATTGATAACCTTCAATAATGACGATTGCATTAATATACTTAGACAAAATAAATATATTTACTTCATAAATAAGCCCATCACCAGAAGCAAGAATAATTCCACTCCATTCATTTAATTCTATTGTTTTGACATATTCTCGAGCATGACCAGCATATTCTATAATATTATAATAAAATATAAATTTTTCTATTTGACAAAATGCTGTTTTTTTTAAAACCTGTTATAACTATATGATAATTAAATTCAGCTTCACTCCATATACCAGCAACATGTTCCATAACAAGACGATAAGCTTTACCTGCACCACCAGCTGGATTAACAAAAACAAGTGCACGTTTATCACGTTTTATTGTCATAATATCAACTAAATTTATCAAATAAATTTTAAAAAAAAATAAATTTTCAAACAAATTTACAAGGAAGATTTCGTCGTAAATAAATTGCATATGTTACATGACGATGCCATCGCATAATTTCAGCATAATTTGTTTCATAATCATTATATTTTCCATACATAAATGTATGTTGTATTCGATGAAAATCATATTTTTTTGAAACGATTCCACTAAGTGTGTGTGATCGTTTTAATATATACAAATAAAATGTTAAACAACATTGATTAGAATTTTTCATTGATTTCATACATAAACATCCATATATGTCATCAATTGGTATGATTTGTGTATTATTTACAGATGATGATGATTTATTTTTATTTTCATCTTGTTTTGTAACAATTGAAAGATTTGTTAATGAGAGTTTAAGTATATATTGTTGAGATGAATGACGATAATGAAAAAATATATCTTCAAGATCAATTGATTTTAATTCTTCTTGTGCCATTAAATGACTAAATCAAAAAATTCTAAAATTAAAATTATTTTTTAATTGATTTTTCTTGTTTAAATAAATTTATTTTTTTTTGTTTTTTTGATTAAAAAGAAAATCATAGCGTGCTTACAGAACAAATACAAGCAAGCAAGCAATAATGTTATATACGGACGGTTAGCAACACAAAAAAAGAAAGAAAAAATAAACGATAGAAACGTTTGTTAAATGACAAAGTTTATTGAATTGAATAGTATCATTCTACCATACGTTGAAGTTCAGTTGTATAAACATTAACACTTTCAGCATCATACAAAACAAAAAAGACCTGTTGAAGTTTTGTTGTTGCTGTTTGTCGAAAATATTTTGATAAAGCTGCTAAAATTGTTTGAGCAGCTGTTTGTTTCGGAAATCCGGCACTAAATTAAATAATAAAATATTTTTTTCAACATATATTATTTTACATACTTTCCACTACTAACACTTGGTAATGCAACTGATGTAAGACCTTGTTCATCAGCAAGACTAAGAATATTTAAAGTAGCCTTGTCAAGTTCACTAATACATTGGTCTTGTGCAGCAGCATTCCATGTTGGTGAATTAACATGAATTAAATATGAAGCAGATAGATTAGGTGCATCAGTAATAACCACTAAATAATAAAATATAAATATTAAAATATAATTAATAATTAACTATATTACCATCTCCAACATTAGTTAATGATTTAATCTTTGCTGCTTGAGATAAAGCATCTCGTAATTCTTGTCCACCTGCTTTAGACAAAGCATGACCTAGTTTTATTTAGAAGAAAAAATACAAAATTCTTATTGCATGAAAAACAAAGATAATACGAACCAACTTCACCACTCATACTGAGTGAAGTACTTGTTGGATGAACAATTGCATCAGCCTTGATATTAATAATATTTCCTTGAACAACAGTCAACTAAAATAAATATTTGAAAAAAAAATCAAGATATTTATTTTCTACATTGGACATACCTTTTGTCCACGAATAAGAACACGTTCCGAAAGTGTTGTTACTGCAGTACCTTTGAGTGCAGCTGCCTAGAAATATGTAACATATAAAATTCTATGCATATGTAATCAATAACAAAAATTTCTACCTTTGATTTCGGTGTACCATGAATAGTAAAACTTCCTAAACCTTTTGTTAAAGCTGGTTTACGTCCAGTAGCTTTTGTATTCTGACCAGCTGATTTTGCTTTTGTTATCGACGAGCCTCGTGATGAAACTGCCGATGATTGGTCTGGACTATCACCACTACTTTTTGGAAGAAGAAACGGAAAAATTGATGGAAGGACGCCACCTTGTGGTATTACACAACCACGAAGTAACTACAAGGTAACATATGTATAGTATACTCTTCTTTTATATTATTTTACTTTATTAAGTTCTTCATCAGTTGCTATAGCAAGTAGAACATGTCTTGGTATAATTCGCGTACGTCGATTATCTCGTGCGGCATTACCGCTCAATTCAAGTACTTCAGCTTTAGATAAAATTTATGTTGTTGTTGTTTATTTTTTTTTTTGTCTTTTTTTTTTATTATAAATAAAATATTTTTAATTATACCTACCAACAAGATATTCAGCTACAGCTGCTAAATAAACGGCTGCACCTTTTGTTACTCGAGTTGTAGCCGTTGGTGCCGCTTTAAGATAACGATGCATACGAGTAACTGGAAAAATAATTCCAGCACGTGTTGAACGTGATATACGTCCTTTTCTTGGTGCCATTCTCTTTATTTTAATAGAAATGATCAGTTCAAAACAAAAAAAGAAAGCTAACTAGAAAAATAGTATTATTCTTCTTTTTTTTTGCACAAAAAATATGAGAAAATGAAAGTTAACCTTGCTGCGGTTTTTTTTTTCTTGTCAACAAGAATTGCTCAACACTGTCGCAAGTTTTATTTTGTTTGACTTACCTTTTACAGGTTCTCTAATTCGGCGAATCAAATACATAAAATAATTGACATCTTGATGTCACTAGTAACTGAAATGTTATTATCAATTGAATACTTTATTTTATTTTCTTGATTTTTTTAAAAACAACTATGGTTTAAAATATACGCTAAAATGAGCTTTTTGCACTTTAATACAACGACAAATTATGTTTAAGTTTTGGTGAATAAACTTTTGATTAAATAACAGAAGTTTTTGTTCTACAAAACTGTCGATTTTTTTCTTCAAATAAATTTCTTCTGTCGTAGAAAAATTGAAAAGATTGACAGTCACTCAACCATTGAACTACAACTATCAGAAAAGAAAAATTATAAAAAATATGTTTAAATAACAGCTCTACCGAAATTTGAAATAGATTACAAGATACATCGTGGAATGCTGCATCTCATGATGTCAGAAAAAAAAACAATTTTTCAAGTAAAAAATTAGAAAATGACACAAAAGACTGTTTCTGACAAATCTATGCCATTATTTATTTTTAATTTCGGACAAACTAGAGATTATCGTTGTTTAGTTTAAATGAAGATCTTGAGAATATAGAGCAAAAAATTTATATTTAGCATCGAACTTGATGAGCACAAACAGTTAGATGCCCACAGAAAATACCAATAGATCAAAGTTGGATAGTGTAGCAACCATCGATCTTTCCAATTGTTTGTCGACAAGAAAAACTTGTTTAAAAAAAGGAAGTTCCGCAACGGAAAATCAAAGACTTTGTAAAATATCTGTACTTATTTTGTATCCTTTAGTTCGAAAGCACAAAAAGAAGTAAATTCAGACAAGGATATTCTAGCATAGGAAATTAATCTCACCACATTTGACTTCTCATTTGAGAGCATTCGCTGCTACCTCTATCCTCGATAACAATTTCATCTCAAACAATGCTAGTTTTCCTGATTGATAAAGTCATCTTTGGATAGTCTCGACATGAGCATTCATCAAAACACGATCCATAATTATAGTTACCTTGAAGTTATTCCTGGCGAATACTCTATTCTAATCAAATTTTCTCTGCATCTCAGAATTCCAGAGAATTGATAAATATATACAAGTATATTCAAACTATTTTTTTTTGTTATCATTCATTATGATTTTATCTGTTTCGATTCAACGATACAGACTAAACATCAATACGCAAAAAAGAAAGACAAGAGAACCAATATAATGCTTGATTTTCTGTATATCATTATTAACTGTTCAATAGAGAGAACATGAAAAGAAAAAAAACGAAGATATAATAACAAAAAAAGTCAATAACTGCACAATTGGCTGTCTAGTTTAGTCTCTAGGTTGGAACTACATACACTCGTTCATTTAAACACATCACAGCATGAAAGAAAGTGAATATTCACGAAAAAAACAAAAAGCAGAAAAAGAACAACACAAAAAAAGCACCTGTTTTCAATATGAAACAAAAGGCCCAAAAAGAAGATGAAGAAGAAGAAGAAGAACAAAACTAGGAAGAAATATAGGTATTCTCTAATCACTCCTATATGTTTGTTTATTAAACGCACATTCATATACATACAAATAGTAAATCAAAAACAAATGAAAGACAAAATTCTAGTTCTCTTTTGTTACGTCATCTACAATAAGCCATTATTTATGTACATTTGCTCTGGAAAACATATGTTCATCGAAGACAAAAAAAAAAAAAAAAATGCATTAACCCGGTAATATTATCGATATGATAGAAACTAAAATTAAAAAGAAGATAATCATCATTAGAACGAAATGATCTATCGAATCCTTAACAGACTACCTTTGATTTATTAATATATAGGACTATGTTCGAGCAACACTAATGTCAAGAGTTAATCGAGAAAAAAAGTCGATGTTATTTATTCTTGACTAAGGAAACAAATATATATTGTTTTGTTGTGTTGAAATTTTTAGCATTTTCTAATGATCATGAGATTTTTCTATGGAAAATTTTATTAGATAACGATTTTGTAATTGAATTTTCAATGAATAACTGGCCTAGAGGCCAAAAGCCCTATCTGAATAATGTATAGTCTTAATCTCTACTAGAGTTTTCTTAGTTACACTAAGTTTGACTCATAGCCAAATTATAGGATCGAACAACGTTCGACAATTAGATATGTTATATTGTTAGAAGAATAAAATTTCTTTTACTTGTATTTTGATTAAATATTTTAATTAGGTCGTTTTCGTTTATTTGATTTTCGACTCGATGATTTTTTTGAAGATCTTTTTGTCGATTCTAAAAAAACAAAGAAATTTTGTTTTTCGATTAATTATTATTCATTCAATATACCAGTATTTTCTTGTTCAGGTTGTTTAGGTGGTTCAAGTTTATAACCAACAAGTTCACACCAACCAATTGGATAAATATTTGTTGATTGACAATCAATCCATTGTTCAAAATCATCACTCCATCCATCGAAATGAACACGAATAAGATTATCTGCTATTTGTGCTACTGTAGCAACACATACTAAATGTGGTGCCATCATATCAACAGCTTCAATTTTCATTCCAACAGAAAATGGATTTATCGTATTCTCCTAAAATAATAATAATAACAAAAATAAAAAATAAAAAAAAAGTATCTTTATCTTTCTATTACTTTATTAATTTGAAAAAGTTCTGATGGTGCACAGACTGAATTTGTTTCATGTAAATATTTTTCCCATTCAAATTCACCTTGATAGCCTAGAATAATCATATATATATGTATATATATATACATGATATATAAATATAAATATATTTGAAATTTCTACCAAGTGGTGGTGATAATGAAATATTATTCATTTTACAAAAATTTATTGGAAATATTAAACGTGAACTAGAATGATAACAAAACCAATCGGAACCATCTTCAGCACTTGATCCATCAATTGATAACATAAAATAACCATTTTTCAGTACCTAGGAATAATTAAAGAAATGTTTTGCACTAACAGAAATTAGAGACTGTAGATAGAAGAACATTGTGGCAACCAACCATTCAGACGACACCGTAGACAAAAAAGATATAATTTTTTTTTCTCTTAGATGTTA